TTTCAGAAGTTACTCATGTTTGTTTCCACAGGTGTTTGATGGAGAACTCGACTCCCAGAGGACCTCTCGTTGGCTGGTGTGTTATGGTGATTATGGCCAAGGGTAACAAAGGCTCTAATCACAACAGGAGGCTTTGGTTGTGATAAACGCATGGAAAACCAAGGGACTCTCGATCTAGCATATTATCAATTGTGTGAAACTAAGGATTATTATCACTTTGGCAGGTATTGCAGCACATTTGGTGGGCTATTTTAGCACGCTTGCACGCTCGTGTGATTGTTCACACGATTGTTCGTTTGGTTGTGATAAACGCACGGCAGTTTTTCATGGAAAAATTAAAATAATATCAAGAAATGTAGGGTTGTGAAGTTCCTCCGACAAACTGAATTACAACAATGGTCAGGTGGTGCGTACCTTTGGCAAACTTTCATCCATCTCATTGGCCGGACCAACAAAAGGCTGTTAGCCTTGCAATCATGACGGGCCTCTTACCTTTTTAAGTTAGTTGTTTTTGAAACAACATATGAGATAATTAAGTGTTAACAACTGAGTTGAAAACGTAAATTAGCCACCGCAGAGAGTTTAAAGGCTGACGTTTCGAGTGTTAGCCCTTCGTCAGAGCGATGCATCTATCGCTGTGAGGGGGGGCTAAAGCGTGAAACGTCAGCCTTCAAACTCTTTACGGTGGCTAAATTACGTTTTCAACTCAATTGATAACACTAAATTACCTGTTATACAATCCCACCGACGCGGCAGCGCAGTTTCTTTAGAAACTTACCCCCTTTGTTCATTGGTCTTTGAAATAGCTTGCAATCGTCTGCCAGGCCGCCGGGGTTGACTTAGGTAAAAGAGGCGGGAAAAGGAGTCGTGGAAAGTTGGGTTGAAAACAGGCCGATCGACAGACCTTTCCGTAGAAATTTTCCTCTCTCGCCAACCTATAAACTACGTAGTTGGCAGTTTTCTGCTCTAAGGTTTTGTGAATGTGTAAAGTTATAAGCTCCAATCTGCATCAGTCCTCAACTTCTCGCAGCTTTGCCACTTATTGTTTCTGGTACAAACAAAACCGCCAGCTACGCAGGCAACTCAAGCATTCTGACACAGAAATGGTCTTTCTACATCGTTGGAGCAATTGTCGATGGAAAAGAGAAGACTTGTAATTTTATGAGATCAGCCTTGAATTGCAACGCAAAGCCACCTACTCCACGTGGCTCCGCGTGGTGTCGCCCGAATTATTCCTAACCTTTAAAGGAAGTGTATGTCACACAAAGTTGACAGACATTTGACAGCTATTTCTAAATAGGTTTTATGCGTCCGCATGTGATGAGGTTTGCTGTTCATGAAGTCCTTTAAGGGTATAAAAATCTGTCATTAAGGATTGCTTTAAATCATAGAGATGATCCATTATGCTCTCAAGGTTCGTAAGCACTTTCGCGTGGGTTTTTAAAAACTGGGTGACAAATTTTCGAATGGTGAGTACGTGAACTGGTCAGTGGTAAGCGATTGTTGTTGGGTCACGTGAGATAATTTTACGATTTCATAAAATAAGCTTGCTTTATGCACGAAGTTGAAGTGTTTTATTCAAGTTGATGTTTTCAGAAGAGGTACTTTAAATTTACATATGATTTTAGAACATAGCATTTATTGTTTGTACGACGTGATAAGGCCTGCTGTGTATTTCGATGATTTGTTTCTGCCGGCGAAGAAGTCATTCATTCAGATTAATTGCAAAGCATTGTAAGGTTAATGTTGCCAAGTTGTCGAAGTCAAAACATTTTCTGGGTTTCTTGCGATTTCGAGGGCTGAAAAACGGTACAAAGAAGGAGAGGAAAGGAAAGAGGTTTTTTTTCCACTGTACACATGTAGGGTTCTGGCCCAAAACACGATATTGGGAAACTTTCTTGCCTTCCACTTACTATACGTGTACTCACGCGGTCCATCTTTATACTTGCTATTTTGTCTGGTTAGAATTATGTACGTAGGAAAAAGGAAACGGTTATGCAGCTGAGGCAAACGGATTTTACGCATTATTTTGGCGGTAATTCTAGAGAAGACAGTTGAAAGTCCGGCCTCAAAGGTGTATCACACCACGGGATGCTTTCGTGACTGACATGTCACACACTTGTCGGGCGTCACGCAACGTAGAGCGTAGAGCTGTTATGTGTTAGTAAGTTGCTTTCTGGGAATCATGAGTCCTAAAAGGTTTTTGTCATTGGATCATAGCTAGAAACTGAAATCAATGTTGAGTTATGAAGGGAGAAGGTCCTGTACAAAGCTGAAGAGGAGAGAGAAGAAGACTCATGGGTTTTGCTCAACATAGTAATTAACATTTTCTTTTGAGGATGTATCTGTACAACAAATTCATAAAGATCTGAACCCAATAAACTTCTGGCAAGTAAAGGAGATTAATGATCATCTAAATGAAAGCACTGTACTCCCAATTCTCAAAAAAGTTTGTGAAAACTATCACACAATTATATGGTGTACTTCACCAGCTACTTATTTATGTATCTATGAATCACAACTCTCATTTGTGAGAATGGTGGGTAAATGCATAATGATAGCCAGATGGACTACTTTCCTTAATCGATGATTCTTGCAATAATGGCAATAGAGACATGCACAGCAGTTGATTACAGTGATGGTGGAATTGAAAATGACCATTGTGATGATGGTGATAACAGTGATGATTACCACGATAATAATGATTGTGATAATGATAATAAACAAACTCATATCTCTTTGTGGGTTCACTTATTACAATTTGGATTTAAAACCAAACATTTTAATAAATAAAATGCTACTTTACAATTACTTAGACATGTATCTCTTTTCAATTAGACTATTTTTCAGATTATTTTCAAGAGAAGCCAGAAAGACATTCCTAGTTAGTAACAGAAATGTTGATGTGGGAGGTCTCATTTAAGGTATTCCTGGAGGCTAATTAAACTAATTTGGTGAAACTGGACAGTTTTCAAGTGGTTTAGTTTCAAAGATATAATTTAGTTATCAAATTCATTTTGACATCACTTGAAGTTTGCTTCTTCTAGTTTCTGAAAAGTTTGGGGGAGATAACTGTTTTGGAATGAGTGGAATTCAGGAAAATAAGAGGTGTGACATTCACCCTTAAAATTGTATGATTGCTCAAATCTTGACAAGGATTTGTATTTTTCAGTGGGATTTGTATTGAGGGAGATTTAACAAGGGGTGTAGCTAATTATGAAGGTCAGTTGTAAAAAGGGAGGAGGGTAGGAGTTGAAAGCAGCAGATGTTTGAGAAATTAGCCCAGGTCTGTCTTTAAACTCTTTAAACCCTAACATCTGTTGGGTGAAGGTCTGCAGTTTAACCATGACATTTTATGCATGAAACCTCACACTATTAAAGATAAATCTAAATTACTTAAGCTAATGGTGATTTTTATACTGAAATTTATACTCGTCTGATATTATCAGATTGGATACTGATGGGAAATAGATAGCAATGAGAAAGGCTCAGTTGAGTAGTCACTTTAAAAGGACATCCTTTCACAAAATTGTTTTTTATTTACCTTGGTTCATTTGAGACAGCTGATATCTAAATGGACAACACTTATGTTTCATTTCAAGTTCTAAGACACATCGAAACATACATGTATGAGTTGAAATTCTTTTGTTTTTACTTATATCAGGAGTTTTTGTGGAGAAACATAACATACCCAGATTAGAGCATTTCACCATGAAGGTTATCGGCCAAAATGATAAATTCCATAAATATCAGCCAACGATGTAACAAAATGGATCTGTTGAAAAAATACTTAATAAATTTGAAAAAAAGAAAATATGAATAATAATGATCATTAGTCGCCTTACTTACTTTGAATCGAGAATGTGACTATGTATCTCTCCAACGAGCTCGAGTCAGAAGGAGAAGGTGTCAATGTTCATTAGATATCACCTCGCGAAACGCTCGTGATATTAAAGGCAAAACTAAGGGATGATGTGTTCTATTGTGAACGGGTTAGACTCAAACGACATCCGACCCCTTTTTGTGAAACCTCTTTTTCTGCTGAGAATCCTTCGCCACTTCTGCTCGGTAGAGCTCTCCATCAATAATTGTATATGCTTTATGGAAAGTTTTCCCTTGTAGCGCAACAGGCTGTACCACGTGCTTTCCTTTACACTGAGAAAGTAATTCTTCTAAGATTATGATAAAGGCTGTAAGCTTACCTAGCTTATGCTCAAAGATCCGATGTTTAAATCATAAGGTTATCGCGGGGCATCCTAGAGGTTAGTTTTAACTTTTCAACCCACTCAATTTTTAAAATCTCAAATTATTTTTCGAATGTGAGGCCAGAACTCTCATAGTGGAATGCGGCTTTTTAGGGAATTGTGTACGAAATTCTGCCAGCACAATTTTTCTAAGCTTAATGAGGGGTTAAAATGCGTGAATCGAGATAAGTTGCAGCTAAATGTCTTTGCGTGAAAAAAGAGGATTACCTCCTTCATCGAACCAGCATTTTTCTCATCAAGTTATCCGATTCTACCCTTTTTTGTGTGCATCATTGTCAGTGTGTCTCACAAACCATGTACATGGAAAGAGTGTTTCACTGTTACATAATTCCTATGGAGCCGACGCTTGAGTGTTACAGACTTTTGTTGAGTAATTGGCTTTAAAGGTAACATGAAACATTCACGGCATTGCTTAGCATCTACAAACGCTCAGGTCTAGAGAGGCAATTAAACCTCACTAATTAAAGTTATTTTTTCCTTAACCCTCAAACGTGTACCTAAGCTTTCTCCGTTCCCTACTTTCTTTATTCCCTTGCAAGGATCAGGTAGTTAGCACAACATTTGTCTCGTATCATTTGTCTGGGAATGAACCTAACGGCAGAAAAATGACCTCGTTATTTTAATCTGTTTGACCTTCAATTAGAATTCTAGTAATTTGATTAGCATCAGACAACAAACTATGTTTGGGTTAAGTTTTTCATTGTTTTGTTTTCTTGTTCACAGAAAGGACTTAAAGGAAAAAAAAAGTCGTCTGAGAAGACGATCGTGTCACCTTGGCGCCTCCGTTTCTGAATCCCCCCCGAACATAATAGAGGACATCAAAACAGCCGTCTGTCTCTGAAGGTTAGTCTGAACATAATCAAAGGCGAGAAAAGCTTTACTGAGCAACACCAGGATTGAGTCGTCTGTGAATGAAAGCTGTGCAGGTATATGATGAGATATTTAATAGGGTGTCGAAAGTAATCCTAGATTGCTTAGTTGGTCTGGTTTACTCTAATTATCTTCTGACAAAAGAGCAGCCAGCTTTCTGTCATTTGGCAGACGATTGAGGAGAAACGTTGCTTTGTGTAATATTACTCGCGCCTTTGCACCCTTACACCGAAGCTTGTACTTTGCCGGACGTTTTTTTGCTGTTGTGTTCAAACTCAGTTTGGTTTTCATTTTATAGCTTGACGAAATGGTTTTTGTAAGGAATAAGAAGCTGTAAATCGGAGATTTCTAAGGGGTAAGCTTGCGGGCTTTGTCATCCGTGGCGCGCACGAAAACATCTAGCCATCCTCCTAGTGCGTTCTCTTTCTGTGTGATGATAATCTTGTATGGAAAACATTGTTATCTTGGTTATGGAGTTGCAGTTTGAAAGTATTCCAAATGTTCTCAGGTGATACAGCTTCTTTCTTGAGCCGACTTTTATCATAAAATAACCCACATTGACGCACTTATGTAAAAGAGCAATCTTTTGGTGGATACTATGAGATAGAAGCTCTATCTTGATGTAAAAATGAATGTCCTCACGGCGGCATTCAAGTTTCATTCAAGTAACCCTTTAACTCTCAAAATATCATGGAAATTTCACTTTTCGCTTCCATACATTTCCTTTTAAACTAGCCTTGAGAAATTGGTGTTTTGTCTTGACGACACCTTTCAGGTGATACTTTCGGCTGTTTTCATCAGTTTTCATATTCTTGCTTTTTAACTCACCCAGGTGACATTTTTGGACTTGCCCTCGTGTGCCAAGGTCGTTATGACCCTTGGGAAGGGCAGGTCCATAATAACAGCATCTCTTCCACACGTCTTCACGAGAGGCTTCTTTTACTTAATCCACACTTGATTTCAGACCCGGCTTTTTAAAGTTGTTCAGAAATTGCGAATCCTCTCCCTTCTCTTAGATAAGTTCACATATTGCTGAAC